ATTGATGACTTGTTTGATTTTTGATCTAGTACATAACCAGTACACACTGCCCCATTGATGACTTGTTTGATTTTTGATATGGTACATAACCAGTATACACTGCCACATTAATGACTTGTTTGATTTTTGATATATTACATAACCAGTACACACTGCCACATTGATGCCTTGTTTGATTTTTGATATAGTACATAGCCAGTACACCCTGCCACATTGATGACTTGTTTGATTTTTCATATAGTACATAACCAGTACACACTCCCACAATGAAGACTTGTTTGATTTTTGATATAGTATATAACCATTACACACTGCCACATTGATGACTTGCTTGATTTTTGATATAGTACATAACCAGAACACACTCCCACAATGAAGACTTGTTTGATTTTTGATATAGTATATAACCATTACACACTGCCACATTGATGACTTGTTTGATTTGTGATATAGTACATAACCAGTACACACTGCCACATTGCTGACTTGTTTGATTTTTGATATAGTACATAGCCAGTACACCCTGCCACATTGATGACTTGTTTGATTTGTGATATAGTACATAACCAGTACACACTCCCACAATGAAGACTTGTTTGATTTTTGATATAGTAGATAACTAGTACACACTGCCACATTGATTACTTGTTTGATTTTTGATATAGTACATATCCAGTTTACACTGCCACATTGATGACTTGTTTGATTTGTGATATAGTACATAACCAGTACACACTGCCCCATTGATGACTTGTTTGATTTTTGATATATTACATAACCAGTACACACTGCCACATTGATGACTTGTTTGGTTTTTGATATAGTACATAACAAGTATACGCTGCCACATTGATGACTTGTTTGATTTTTCATATAGTACATAACCAGTACACACTCCCACAATGAAGACTTGTTTGATTTTTGATATAGTAGATAACTAGTACACACTGCCACATTGATGAATTGTTTGATTTTTGATATAGTACATAGCCAGTACACCCTGCCACATTGATGACTTGTTTGATTTTTGATCTAGTACATAACCAGTACACACTGCCCCATTGATGACTTGTTTGATTTTTGATATGGTACATAACCAGTATACACTGCCACATTGATGACTTGGTTGATTTTTGATATAGTACATAACCAGAACACACTCCCACAATGAAGACTTGTTTGATTTTTGATATAGTACAGAACAAGTATACACTGCCAAATTGATGACTTATTTGATTTTTGATATAGTACATAACAAGTATACACTGCCACATTGATGACTTGGTTGATTTTTGATATAGTACATAACCAATACACACTCCCACATTGAAGACTTGTTTTATTTTTGATATAGTACATAACCAGTACACACTGCCACGTTGATGACTTTTTTGATTTTTGATATAGTACATAACCAATACACACTCCCACATTGAAGACTTGTTTTATTTTTGATATAGTACATAACCAGTACACACTCCCACATTGATCGAATTTGAATGAGTTTGAATTAAACAATGTATGACACTATTTGCTATGCAGAAGAAATGCATTTCAAAATGTACTATGGCAGATGCACGCATATAATTCGTTATCCCAAATACTGTACTATCGTAAGACTGAACTTGTTTGATTTTTGATATAGTACAGAACAAGTATACACTGCCAAATTGATGACTTGTTTGATTTTTGATCTAGTACATAACCAGTACACACTGCCCCATTGATGACTTGTTTGATTTTTGATCTAGTACATAACCAGTACACACTGCCACGTTGATGACTTGTTTGATTTTTGATATGGTACATAACCAGTATACACTGCCACATTAATGACTTGTTTGATTTTTGATATATTACATAACCAGTACACACTGCCCCATTGATGACTTGTTTGATTTTTGATCTAGTACATAACCAGTACACACTGCCCCATTGATGACTTGTTTGATTTTTGATATGGTACATAACCAGTATACACTGCCACATTAATGACTTGTTTGATTTTTGATATATTACATAACCAGTACACACTGCCACATTGCTGACTTGTTTGATTTTTGATATAGTAGATAACTAGTACACACTGCCACATTGATGACTTGCTTGATTTTTGATATAGTACATAACCAATACACACTCCCACATTGATCGAATTTGCATGAGTTTGAATTAAACAATGTATGACACTATTTGCTATGCAGAAGAAATGCATTTCAAAATGTACTATGGCAGATGCACGCATATAATTCGTTATCCCAAATACTGTACTATCGTAAGACTGAACCATTTGCATGGATAGTATAGTAATATTAATATCATAATAGCTTTGTTTCATGTCGGGGGTTCTCGAGGACACCTCAGTAACGATGTTATTCATATGTCAGCGTAACAATGGAGTCATGTTATGTTTGTTTACACAACAATGGAGTAGTACTAAGTTCGTAGACAAAACAACAGAGGCGTTTATTGTTCGTATGCAAAACAATGGAGTCGCCCCTAAACAAAACACTATAGTTTTACATGTACTTTGTTTTTATGCATTTGGACAACGACGTTTTAACACTGTGGTAATGATAAGTTGAAACATATTTCACAATCACTGATTGCATAGTTTTATATCATAGACCTTAAATCGGTGATGGCGAACATCGATACAGCTAAAATCTACATTAATTCAAATTTTCTAATTAATCTATTTCCTCATACAAATAACATCTGCACTATATTTTGCCTCACTGTGATAATATCAAGCCCCATATATGTTTTTAAGAAAACGCTGATTGACATGACGATTAGATGAATTAAGTTAGACGACATCATGGATGCTGTATAGTTGTATTTAATTTAGATCATGTTTATTCTCTAAACTATCATTATCAATAGCATATTTATTTTTCTTAGATCCAAAATGACCATAAGCAGATAGAACAAGCAAAACAAGAATATGCTTGTTTTTCTATAAAATGAACTTTCCTTGAAAAAACCCAACGTAACGTGGCCTGAATCTGATGGCTTGTTAGTTGGACATGACCGCTAATTACCACATAGATCTACGTTCTTATCGCTGACACACCTGTATATGCCTATTATACCTCAACTGTATAACATACTAGATCACAGCGTGGTTTTATGCACGGTTACATTTACTGGATCGACTTATTTCCTTAACCATATTAATCAAGCTTTGGAATAAATAGACAAACAAATTCTGTGAAAATGAACTCCGACTTGATTTTATAATTCTATGGAATGATATAAACTGACTGTAAATACACAGATATTAGCGGTATTATAATTTTTGTGTTTTAAATATTGCGCTAAATTATGACTGTGCTAATTGAAGTTTCTGTATATAGTTTCCTGTTGCATATATTGTGAGTGCAGACATTCATCTATGCGCGGTTATCTTTTTAAATTCGCTAAACGCGTTAAAATTTGAGCCCGCTAGAATAAAGTATTATTCCAGTATATTGTTTTTAGCTATTATAACTACAGGTTTCCCTTAGTACATCCAGCTCAAGTTTGTACTGGGCATTGTTGGCTTGAAGATGCAATGAATGAATTTTTCTTACGCAAGCAATTTTTATAGAAACATCACCTGAAATATACGTTTTCTTCGATTACAATATCATTATGAATTTCATGACACATGTGTTTTTGTTTTAGTTTGCTTTTAAGATTAATTAATCATGAAAATATCACCATTTGTTTCACCTGAATGTGTCATAAGATTGATAATATCATATTTACGTTGGAAAGATTTTAGAAAAAGAAGACCATGTAGTGACAAAACAGTGTGTGATTTATTATTCATCAGAGGGCAATATTGTAATTTAAACATAGTTTTGAATTATATTGATGTTCGAAAAGATTAACTTGTGTATTTGAAAATTAACACTTTATGTGCATCATGTATTTTCCTGTTCAATAATGTTTTGATAACTACTGATTAAATGCAGAATATATCGTCGTAATGTAAAAAGAAATGTTGGGTTTAAAAACAAATTAAAAGCATGGGGAAACAGGATGTATTTTACGTGTTATTTATTAGAATTATTCAAAAGCCAATGCTTCATTTCACCAAATACACTATAAATTAGTCGGCGCGTGACGAGGACAAACGTTTGTTTAATGGTTAAACTGTGATGAATACTCCGATAAGTCTGCAGTGTGGACCTTGTGTACATGATAAACAGAGAGTTGTACTCCCTCTGAACCCATCCCGTACCCGGATATACACGTCAATAGCTACCCTGACATCATGGCATGCAATGTCAGCTGTATTCCAATTCAAGCTACAGAACAAAGAATAGTGCATATACCCGCCACCCGGTTTACAATGTAGAAACCTATCATAAATTATCTTACATAGCCAACGTTCATATCGTTTTACATATTATGAGAGTTAAGGCAAGTGCGTTCACCCTTAATGATAAAGATTACCCGATAGTTTATCGCTGTTTGATCATTGTATTATATGATATGTGTTCTGTAATGCTTCTATACGGAGAGGTTATAAAACACACGATTATGCAAGCTTCAAACACTGGAGAACACTCCTTCCATTACTCAATCACTGACATATAATAAAACCGTACTTTATACACGGATTTTAATTATCAATGGTACATTGACCAAATAAATACATCTGTATGATTAACTGTGTTTTTCTCTTGTACAAAATGGCCTGGTATAAAACCGGGATTAAGCCGTGGAAACCATTGTGATACCTGAAGAACCTCCGTACCAATATGACACTGGAGGTCTATTGTATAGAGCTGGTCAGGTATTTAATTACTAGTTGGTGTGGCTTTCACATCTGATGACCTGTGATTATCCACACGATTAACTGTACTCGGCGTTATTTGCTCCCAACATGCGTTACGCGTTTTGTCCTTGATATTAATTGGGTGATGGTGTTTGTGTTAGTGGCGGCAGTATCGGGTAAACGGACACTGACAGTGGTTTAGTAATGGCCAGGTTTGATGTATTTCCAGATATATCTCCTGATCTCGTATCCCAGTTCCTTCAAGAGAATCCGGAGTTTCTTGACAACTATGTCTTGAATAACGTAGACGAGACTCGTGTCCAGGAATGGTCACTACGCAAAACCAGGTCACCGCGCCTGCCTCGCCAGACGTGGCACCTCACCAATGGTCAGTATGATTTTTCATGTATAACGTTGCTAAGATATCTATGCACATCTTTATTGCCTTTTTTAACACTGACCTCATATTTCACATAAACAAAATGTTTAAATGTGTGGTTTCAATACATGTATATTGTTTTTAACAAGTGCTATGCTTTCAGCGATATTGTGCATTTGTTAAATGCAGTGCAATTCATTACGCTCCTTATTTGATTAAGAGCAAATTTAATGGTTATGTTCCCAATGATCAGCCTAAAAAACTTGTGCAAAACATTTCTGAACGACGCTTCATGATAATTCTCCTGCAAATAACATCGCTTTACAACAGGAAAAACATATTGTACAAACTTAACAAATTCGAACCCACATGCAACACCACTATTGCAAAAAAAACCAATAAATCCTTTAAATTCCATATACTTGCATTACATTTACTGTTATCGTTTTTATAATGTAACGTAGAAACTCTGAAGGTTTTACAAAGGTTATAATTAGGATGAGTAATGAACACAGTGGTTACCACCCCATGTACAATGTCCATGCTTGTTGGCCTAGTCTATTATTAAATTGTTCAAAACGTCATTGTTTAGGTAGTTGGTAAATATGACAATCAACCTACCTTTGTCACAAACATTAGAATATTTACAGGTATTGCTTCAAAGACATTTAGAAGTTCCCTTGAAGTGTACATTGTATAGGTGATTTTGAATTCACTGACCTTTCATTTAATAAAATATTGGTTGTAAACATATTCAATGATGTCCGAGCTTTCAAGATAGCTGTAACAGTACAACTCCGTTATATTACATTTGAACACGAACAAATTCACAGCATGGTTGTTATTGTATTTTACGACATATCTTTTGAATCCTACTCTAGTGCTACTTTTGGATTTTACGGCATGCAAAGCAAGGTCCTGTTTTTCACACTGTGATAATACAAGATGTTGGAATACCCCAGTAGACAGAGCTCATATTTTTGGTTTGATCTCATCGGTTGTTATCTACTGATGAAATAGACGAACTAAAACAAGAATAGGTTTTTAAACAGCTTTATGATGCAGTGTACCTCGTTTTTGGCTGAATGTATTTATGTTACCATATTTTACCGACCTGTGTGTGTGTGGTAGTGTGTTACGTTGATCTTCCGAAAATTTAATCGAAATATTACGCTCTTTAAACGTAAACGTCTTTATTCCATTGTCGACGGCAATAATTGTCCGCCATTGTGGTTCAGTTAAAGTTTTCAGAAAGCAAATTGCACGTAAATTCATGAGTACTGTTCAGTTTAGTTGAAAACATCGCATGTAAATAAAGAACAGAAGTAGGTAGGTAATATAAGCATGCCATACGCATGTGTTCATCTGTTCTCTCCGGTTTCACTTGTTTATTGCGCGAATGGATATATTTGGCTTAAGTTCTGGTGAAAGATATGCATACGTGAAATGTATTTGTGCGTTGTGAGACGTCAGATGAACATGTGTGTCTTGTATTGCCTATATTTTCTGGGGCTGCACATAATAAAACATGTTAAGCTAAAATATCTGTCATGAAGCACCTGGGAAAGAAAATGGGGTCATGTTGCCTTCCCTTTGGTTTTACTATTCTGCGTGGTTAATGTTTAACATATCTACTTGACACTGTGGCGATAATACTGTTATTTAATTTTTTCACATAAGGATTGAGTAATTCATTTTTGGCAAAAGTAGACATTTTGTTCATCGAACAGATGATAGAATACACATAATTTTTAATCATGTTCACCTATGTTGATAATAAGTGAATATTCATCGTGATATTGATCAATTAGTTATATTCCTTTATACTAATTAACGACTAAACATTTCAGTCTATTAACAAGTTAATTATGTAAACATATTCTAGTTTACGGAATAACTGATGTAATAGATATGTGAGAGGATGTAAGTTTATATGTAAATAGGTTAAACGTGTAAAAATAGCATGTCATTGTTTTTTTTGGATTTACACATAACTCATACTTTGTCACTGTTCTGTTACCAAGGGAAAGAATTTATAAAGAAAAGTTTTTAAAATGTTCTTTCAATAAATCAAAATATCATATTTAATGATGTAAAGAATGTATACATCAAATATAGAGATAGAAACAAAGATACGTTGACTGAATGTTAGAACAGCAAGTCATGTGCAAAACGTTTTGTCCTGCTACTTTAACGAAATAACTACTCTTATTAAATATGTATGAAAAATCTGTATTACAATACATTGAAAATTACGTCAATACTACAATGTTTCCAGCACAGTCCCTCATTTTTCATAACGTCTGCAATGCATATTCATATATAATGACTGTATTCATTTATATAATGACTGTATTCATATCTATAATGACTGTATTCATATATATAATGACTGTATTCATGTATAATTTGTAGTCACATGTATGCATATTAATATATAGCATTATAAAGCATGACGCCCCCGCGATGTATTTTATTTGAACAAGAAAATCAGATTTATTTGTTTAGCCCCATCTTTGAGTAAGCCCTTGTCACGAATAGTAAATGTGTATTTGAAATATATTTTCGTTCAAATAATGTGTGAGCTATTGTATTGACATACCTAACCTATAACTGTCAAATCATAATTGATATAGCTCAGCAGAATTGTTTAGCAAGTTTGTTGTCCGATTAAAACGACCTTGAAATATTAACGTAGTTTGATAAAGGCATTGATTAAGCCATTGAACAATTTTTATAAACAGTATAATAAATGAACCTGCGTATATTAAAACTTGATCGTGAAATCAATACATTGTAAGTAAGTGAGGACACAAACATTCACGGGGGGAGGGGGGCTATCCCTAGGCAACTCAACCTTGGCAGCCCCTGTCGTTGCAAGTAATATGTACATATAATATATGCACGCTATGTATGAGAAAAACATACATAAATATATAAACTAAAATTGTTAGAAAAAGGTAAATATTTGAACGATCAAATATATCATGACCTCAACTATCATTTGGATTTTCAAATCGAGATATTGATTTTATAAGTGGGAAGGTTTTTAGAGAGCTTGTTGTTTTCCCCTCATTTTCTTCTTTTTCTGTATATTATTTGTAAAACACTATTTATCATTTACTTCACGTGTTATTTCAAAGTATGTCATTATGTTTCTGTACATTTTTTGTTACGGTATAAATCATGTTGAAAATTTGTCATATTGACCAGCGCTTGGCGTTATAACCTTCGACTTTTAACTTACATTGTTGGCGATAACCATATATAAATAATTATATCTATTTGAAAATGTCATTTAACTGTTTAAATCAAATATTCCCTATTGCAGGTGATAACAGAGAACATTTCCGGGACCCACAAATCTCACAGAGCAAAAGCCGATGGACGGTAAGAATCTAACTTTCTCAAAATATTTCGCCGTAAAATTAAAATAAATCATTTTTTATGTTTCATTAACTTGATATATGAATACCAATCCATCTTTTTAATCATATAGAGGAATGTACCATTAGTTGTCAATGTGTTTTTTATGTCAAATTTTAAAGAAATAAAAACAATGTTTATAAATATCCTAGGCTAAGATTGGTTGAAATGTTATTTTAGTGTTGTAATTTTTAATGGGATATGTTTTCGCCGCAGTTTAAATTCGCCTTATTTTGCCCTTTTTAATGAAGACAAATTTATGTTAACAGCGAATATTATCTCGCAAAATCCTGTGTATCGTCATTACATGTGTAGGTTGATCATGAGGTTAACGCTGGACTTGCATTAAATTTGCCAGTGAAGGGGAAAAGGCTTGGCGAAAGGCTGGGCGAAAGGTTGGGCGAAAGGCTGGTCGAAAGGTTTGGCGAAAGGTTGCCTTTTTACAGCAATTGTTGCACTGTTGTATAATGGTCATTGTTGTATCTTTATCACGAGTGTCTTGTAGTGTATTTGATCTCAATCGTTGCAGACAACGGTGCAATCAAACAAATGGAAAGTGCTACATAAGCTGACAAAGGACTTTAACCTACATACGAGCCGCTCTGAGATCCTTACAGAACTATCCACATGTGCTAAAAATTGTGAGTATTTTTGTGTCGGTGACGTCTGCGCGAGCAAAACATGCCAATCATCTGATTATGCAGCTTGGCAAAACACGAATTTCTAACATTCTTTTATTATAAACCATTTATAAACTAATTCGTGGAATTTGTTTCTCTCGGAAATAATTTATATAATATGTGCACTTTGAGAAAGGTTACTTTAGCGCCTTTTTTTTTTTTTTTTTTTTTAAATATTCCCACCACGAACGACCCTTTGTCAGAGACAGTCTATCACAGCTCAAACTGTTGCTAAGTTGTGTCGGTGGTTTTGCTCTCTAGAAGTCGGTAACAAAAATATTTTAGCAAACGTTTCTAACTGCCCTTTTTCTTTTGTCTTTAACACGCATCTATTAACACTGTTGTAAACTGTATAAGGTTCGCCGCCCGATTTTTTTCCTGTTGGCATTTTGAAACAAAATTCTCTCGGTTTGGAGTTTGGCCACAAATACCTTACAACATACTACACAACTATATATAATATTATTAGCCCAGTGTATTAATATTTCTACTAACTATCATAATTCCTAGTTTTAACGTAATGCTATTAAGCTATTTGGATCGCTCCTCGTACCTATTGGACCCCTATACATATTGTATAAATCTTATTCTTTCGACGAGTATGGTGTGAATGATATGTAAAAAAATCCAATATACATGTATTTAAGACAGACCCATCCTATAAACAAACCACTGGAGGATGACGTGAAATGTATCTAATTAAAGCCATAAAACAGTCCAGACTGGTATTGCAGTGAATATTGAATAATAATGTAAATGTGTAATTACATGATTCAACATAAACCAACTATAGCAAACTGAAAGACCGAAGTTCAATTATGTAAATTGCGTGTTGATTTGATCGTTTAATTGGCCAAATGTGTTTTATTTTATTTTAATGCGTCGTTACTTTTCCTTAGATGTGCTGACAACTTGCATTTTTGTGTTATTGGCCCTTCTGGAGTGTAATCGTTGGTGATTATACAGACTTAAGCATCTCGTTTATATATAATGCTGAAGTTCATTGCTCTCATGGTGTGACGTATGTGTTTCAGGTGTAAATGCCGATGGCTTCAACTTATACCTAACAGATGAACAAAAGCAGTTGCGATACCACACCTCATATCCCACAGGGTAAAGCCATTTTGTCAACATGTTTCGTTCAGATCTAAACAGGAAAACATATCCCACATCGCTTCAATAAATCTTTTAAATAACGGACCATCTTTCATCACACAGACAATATCACCTGATGGGCGTTTTGATCAGAGAACTGAGTTGTATGTATATGTTGTGATCAACGTCTTTTCCATGACAAACTACGACCAATTATTTTTCGTTTTTGATTGTCGAGAATCGTGTCGCTAAAAAGTGTTACAATTCAAAGCGATGGTTAAACTCTTCTTAATCCAATAGAAAAGAGTTAAGTTAACATTTAGGCAACAGATAGATAGTAAACAGAGCACCCTTCGACTGAATAATCAGAGTGAACAACAATAAGAAAGAGAGAAAGGAGAAAGAGAGAGAAAGAAAATGAGAGGAGAAATAAAGCACTTAATTATTCTACGTGATTTTGTAAACAGGAGAGTGCGATCCTCGTCGTTTGTTGGGCGGACAAAGACCGGGATGTCACTTCCAGATTTCGTGGTATTAACGCGAGAAACCATCAGACTTACAGAACTACAACAGGTATGTTGCTATATTTAATGTAATATTATGCACTAACCCTTCTGCATGATCATAAGACATATGTGAAACCAAAGGGATAAAAGAACAGCATTCCTTTCAATGGAAACGTCTTAACTGGTCTTGAGCTTGTTCAAGTTCTCCGAAATAATATCCAACGTTAAGGATGTATGGTTTACTAGCTAACCTACTCGAAGGGTAAGTGAGCTTATGCCATGGTGCAGCGTCCGTCGTCCGTCTGTCCGACGTCAACGTTTTACTTTCAACAATTTCTTCTAAGTAACCAAAAGGCATAGGATGATGATATTTGGTCAGTAGCATGCTGTAATGAAGGGCTACCTAGTTTGTTCAAATGAATAACCTCCATCCATTGTCAAGGCCACAGGGGTCAAATATGTATAATTATTTTAACGACTCCTTCTGAATAACCAAGAGGCCTTGGGTAATGCTATTTAGCTAGTAACATGCTGGGATGAATGGCTAACTAGTTTATTCAAATTAATGACATTGACTTATATCCAAGGTCACAGGGGTCAAAACCTTTCAACAACTTCTTCTGAACAACCAAGAGGCCTAGATTTATGTTATTTGGCCAGTAACACGCTGCGATGAAGGGCTACCAAGTTTGTTCAAATGAATGACATTCTACTATTATCAAGGTCACAGGGATCAAATATGTTAAAACCTTTTACTGACTTCTTCTGAATATCCGAGAGGCCTAGGGTGATGAAATGTTGCCAGTAACATGCTGTTGGATAAAAGGCTACCAAGTTTGTTCAAATGAATGACCTTGAGTTAAATTCAAGGTCATGAACACAGGGGTCAAATGTGTTGAAAACTGTAAACGGCTTCTTCTTTATAATCAAAAGGATCAGGGTGATTATATTTTGCCAGTAACATACTGGGATGAAGGGTTAACAAATTTGTTTAAATGAATGGGCTTCACCCATTTTCAAGGTCACAGGGATCAAATATGTTGAAATCTTAAAAGAGGTATCACGTGAAGAGCCATATTTTTTTAATAAATGTATGTGTTTTATGCGCTTCCACTTATGTAACCTTGCTTTCCCCATATTCATAATCCGTTTTAAATGCCCAGTTTGACCACTTGAATAGCGCCAATAACGTCACCTGACGGTTTTGAAACGAGTCAACTGCAACTTCTTACTGCACTATTGAAACCAAGTAATATGATATCTAAGTCCGTGTTGAAACTTATTGAATCAGTAATTATTCATAATTAGAAGTTAATTGCACACATGCCAATATTGAGAATTTAAATGAAGAAATATCTGTTGGCATATCGGAATTATTTATAGACACCTGAAATATCTATTACCGGAATGTGACCGGTACAAATGATACGGGGCTAAACACCTTTCCTCAACCATGGGACAAACCTTTCTGTAAAAAGGAATATTCACGAGACGAATATTCATTTTCAAATGTTTTCATAAAGTGTATATATGCATTGACAAGTATAAAAAAGAGAAACGCTTGTGATTTTTTCTACTACATTTTACAACTCAATGTCTTTGGCCACTATTTTTTCTAGACCATGCATTATATATATATATTCATGTCTTCACACGCTAACACTTAGTAAGTCATATTAGCCATCACACACAATAAACATTTCTGGCAATACCACTACGTGTACATGTAGAATGTGTGTCAGATATGGAACGTGTTGAGATACTTGATAATTATGTTTTCAATACTTTACAGAGATTAAAGCATACTTTTAAATGGATCCTTTTTATGATGAAACATCTTTTCTTTAATCAGTTCTTTGTATCCGAAACAGAAGTCGTATTTTTCGGCAGCACACGTCATTTTTACAACGTAAACAAATGACTTTTTCCCGCTTTCAATGCATATTCCAATTCTAGAAAAGTCGAAAATTAACTATTTATAGAGAAAAAGTTGTTGCATGATCATACATTCTAAGTCAACATCATGTGAAAACATGAACTATTGAAACATCACAATTTAAAAAATATTTTTGTTATGCGAACCTATTTACTATAAGTAGGTTCGCCTTCCTCAGTTATTCATCCTGAACCGACAAAAAATATACACTTCACCGTGGTACTCCTTTACACAACTTCTGAATAATCTAAAGGTCCAGGGTAATGATATTTGGCTAAAATCATGCTGGTATGAAAGGCTATAAAGTCTGTTCAACTTAATGTCCTTGTTTGACTTTCAAGGTCACATGTGTCACATGTTTAAATCTTTTAATAGAGTCTTTTAAATCAAACACTGGTATTTTGCCTGTAGCTGTATTTTAGTCCACTTTTAAGATTACAAGTGTAAGAATAATACCAGGTGAGCGATTCAGGCTCATTAGGCCTCTTGTTGACGTTCCCTTGCCTCACAGGACCCACGGTATCCAAAGGGACTCGGGGTGAGGACGGACAACGCTCAATCTGTGATAGTGGTACCCATCCTAGACGGCAAGGAGGGGATCATGGGTAAGTTTACTGGCGGATACTGAATACAGAGTTGGTTTCGCGGTAGTGCTATTCACACGCAAAAAAATAACTGTACCCAGTAACAGATCTATATTTTAACTCGTTGAAGAAAAGTGAATATTTGGAAATATTTAAAGACTTCCTAATAAAAGACATGTATGCTTCATTCTTGGTACAAATGTATCAACATTTAATTTCCGGACGTAGTAAAATTTGAGAATTCCTCCATACATAAGTAAAATCATGATTCTATTTTCTTTGTTTTCGTCGACAGGGGTGATAGAAATGTTTAGATATTACGGAAATATACCTTTTAGCTCAGAAGATGAAGAGGTGAGAACAGCTAAATGTTATTGGCAAAAAGTGACGACTCATAACATTCTTCAACTTTAAACCACTAAAATCATCCGAGATAAATATGGTCATTTAATTCTATGTATAATTTTAAATACGATTAAGTTGACAAATAAGTTACATTTTGTAATTTCACAAGATAAATGATAATGCTTTTTAATACTTACAGATTCTTAACTCTTACCATTTGAATTATTTACATTCTCTGTTCAGTTAATTTTGATACACCATTATCCTATATAAGTTGCGGGGATAAAAATGTAACTCTTATATAAATATACTGTAAAGGTACATGTTTTAGCGGTAGTCTTATTTTAGCGCTAAGTTATGATTGCGCCAATGGAAGTTTCTGTAATGTTACACTTCTATATAGAAGATGAAACAATAAAAATGAGTTGTATCTGGCTGAGAGTCAACCCTTCTGTAAACCTATTGTTTCCTATTGCACATTTTAACGGGTGCGCCAATTCATCAATACGCCAATCTGCTAAACTTTGATAATGCGCTAAAATTTGAGTGTGCTAAAAATGCGTACGTTGACAGTATGTCGTTACGAAATTCGTTACTTGAAACACAGTTTCATATTTTGAATACAAAACGTACCAATGCAAAACGATTCGAATTCAGTGTTGTGATGTTTGGAGTAACACTATTGTTGCGATCATTGTTTACTGTAGTACTAAGTAGACCTTGGTGACATCATTGTGTACTGTAGCACTACTCTGACCTTGGTGCCACCCTTTTGTGTGTTGACGTTTTTAGTCCATGGCTTTTTGTACGTAATTTATTCCCAGTTTTTGATCAATGTGTTTGTCCACGATTTGTCCCACGTGTAAACATATAGTGTTGTATTGTAGGTCGCGGCTTCCCTGTTAGTATGGGCCGACATGTTTGTGGAGTATGTCGAGGTAAACTACTGTATTTAGTATAGCTTCACCTTAGTATTTACTAAACTTTTACTTTTTTAGTTTCGTGTGAATCTGGGTGTTATTTCTCTTGCTTGAAGTGTGGATACTAAATTTGATTGATTTTGCTGAAGCTTGGTTTCTAAATTTTCAGTTTTCAGATTTGCCTGATGCTTGAGTGCATTTTTAGCTACAAATTACTTAGTAGAAGCATATAATGTACTTTCTTACTCAAATGATATAATAAAAAAATGGTTCAATCAGGGAATTGTATGCATATATTTTGCTATTTATATCAGAATTTGAGGAAATTTATCATCTGAATCATTTTCAAAAATATACAAATTCTTAACCGAAACTCCATATTTGAACATCAGGAGTTAATACGTTGGAGTATGTCAAGGCGATAGGGACAGAATTAATTTCAAAATAACACCTAACTTAAAGCGAGTGTAGCATTCACCAACTTGCCCGTGAACGGAATGAACCAATGAGCTTTTGGACTACAATCAATTTGGAATCATATTTCGATATTTTAAATAATATGGTTTTAAAGCATTTATTAAGTACACATGGCATGATGTCCTCTTTACGATACAATGCAAATGTTATATTCTTGCTTTTGTAAGAGTACTAGTATCCTAGGAAGGCCATTAAATGTTTACCATATACTTGTGGAACCTTTTCGTTTAATAAAAAAAATGCCGTATAACAGGAATATGTGCGTAGATTTATTGTTGATATGAGTAAATGTGCTCAATATTGAATCACAGTTTTACGACACAAACAAAATGAGTGTTCGTCTTTTTTATTTCAAATCATACCAGACCTCTTTATAATCACTATAATAGACAATATAAACGCACTGTATATCTTCCTGTTATACACAATATTGTGGAATCTTGTTACTCCGGTCTCTGAGCGCCTGGAACTCTCGCATTCAAGAGATTACTAACCTGGAACTAATGTACAACAAATTGGTGTTTCCTGTTCTTAAAAGTATGTAACAAAAGTGTTCACAAAGGCTAGCTTTTGGTTATGTGTGTATATATTGGCCAAGGTGTTGAATCTACGTAAACTATGACACAGACAAAGATAACATAAAAAGTTAACGTTACATTTATAGAAAACCAACTTGTCCGGACTATCGAGATTCCATTGTTTTGCTTGAGCTTCATATATTTGTTTAAATCTATTCACTCTGTTTGCACGGTTGATCCCTTTACTCATCTGTACGTAAATAAATCTCTGATAATAACAGATCTGTTATTTCTCTAGCGAGCAGACAATATGATCTCCTGGGGAAGTTTCGGCTATTTCCATATAGAGGTATCACGTGACTTTGTTGTCCAGTGAACATTGATGTTGTGCAACAATGTTGTAGACAATATTGACAACTTTTAGTTGATATTGGTAACCTGACAGAATACCAAGTCTAGCACAAACCGCATTATGTTAAATCAACAAAAAATGTGTCTGTATTATCCTTATCACAAAATCAAGCTGTATGGCTACTTTAAGACTTAATCTAAGCTAATATTGATGTAATTTTATCTGAAAAGAAGCATATACAATATTAAGTCGTGAGGTTACCCAAACTAAAGCGATTCATTGACGTTGAGTAAATTTGAATCAACCTGAATAACTCTATTTTCAGCAACAAATATATTGTTAGTTTTCTTGAATCACATGATACCCATGATACTGAACAAAATGAAGCAGTTATCGGTATAATCTGATTAAATGCGTAAAAATCATATATCTGTATTCAACGAATTACGTGTTCAGGTGTTATTAATAGAACTGAAATAGAATTGAATTTTATTTCTGCTTCTTACATATTTTTTATGCATGACGTAATATCTCTTTAAAGGGGACGTATAATAAATGTTTCTAACTAACAATTAATTGTAAAACATTTTAATTTTTTACCATTGGTTCAATTTGCAAATTACAGTGTGTAAAATTCAATTTACATTTTAAAACAGCAGATGATTTTTTTTAACCTTTAAAAGCTGAAAGTTAATAATGGTTCCTGATGAGTATTGTTACTTGATATTGAATTATACATTGTAAATATAACAATGAATAGTATTTTATGCCTATCGATACCTCAAAGATGAAAAGTAACAGTTAATTATAAATCTTTATTATATGTATTTTGAAAGACAATTTATTTTCGGTGAAGATGGAAATGAGAACGTCCCGTATTTTCATTGAAGATAAATTGCTAATAACTCAAACGTTGAGTAACACCATTGTTGATCATTCACAGCTGTATAACAGTATGGCGAAACAACGGAAACTCAACGACTTCCTTCTGGCCGTTACAAAGTAAGCTTACATTTAAATGAACTTATCATTTTCCAGCATTAAAACAGTTAAGAGCCGAAACAGTGTTTTAAAACATCAACAGATTGGTCTATTAGCATCGTGTGGAAAATAATCTTTTCATTCTGTACCTTAGATGCAAAGGAACTTATTAACTAGCTGCTGTAAATACGATGTAAATGCAATTTAGAATTACTACAGAGACAACCTATTTTGTACACTACAGGTCAATATTCCAAGATATCGTCAGCATGGACACGGTTATAATGAAGATCATGGTAAGAAACTAACTACGGAAATAGAAAAAAGAAGTATATGTCATATTTTAAAACAATATAGAGCTATAAAATATGATAAGAGAACTTTGTTGTCAGTTTATATTAGACAATCTGACAAATGTCCTATTCGTTAACGATTTAAATTGTTTTACATTACACTTCACATATGGAATCAGACGTAATGTTAACGACGGAATATTATAATACTAAGAAGAAGCTGCTGCAAGGCTTCAGATTATATTTACATTTATCGGACTTCCTTTTTTAGGACAGCAAACGACATATTATCTGTATTTGTTAACCTATTATGTTTGTTTACATAACGTGTTTAACCATTAATAATCAACGAAATGACTTTTGTTTTAGAATTACGCAAAAAAACTCGGAAATGCCGATAGAGCATCGCTGTTCTTGCTTGACTCCAACACAAACGAGTTGTACGCAAGAATATTTGATACAGGAAAGGCAGACGAGAAAGTTCCTCAGAAAGAAATCAGGTGAATTCCCATGCCAGTTGACCCCGTAAAGTCTGTATACGATAATAAGAGGATACATAAAAACACCTTCTTTTCGGTTGGGGTAAGGGTGAGGGTAAGGGTGAGAGTGGGTGTCATAATTTATTATCTCATCAAAAAAGTAATAATACAAGGTAAGATTACTGTTGTATATAAGGTATACAACGACTACTTATGGTTATGTAAACTGAACTCACAAAAGTTTTCCACTAAATACAATAAGCTTAGCCTACTTCATTATGGCATCGTCAAGTATAAAATACGGACTTATTATTATAATTATTCAAGCTTTCACAGTAAATATACTTGACACATAAGCACACTCGGATTTCCGCCATTATTCATATGGTAATGCCATCATTGTTCAGCTCTACATCTCTATAATACATACAGGAGTACAGTGGTCTTATATTAAATCTAACAGAACTCTCTAAAATATAATACCACTTAAATAAGTAGGCTTACAGTAACTGTATTCGTCTGTTTCCGTTGAGGCAATATGACAGTCTGAAAATTTGAATTTCAAGTAATGTTACAATTTCCCTTAACACATATTATGTTGTCCTTTACAGGTTTCCGATGGATAAAGGAGTAGCCGGTTTTGTAGCTACGACCGGAAGTATACTTAATATCGCTGATGCATACAACGATTCCCGGTTTAACAGGTGTGTATAGTGTATATGTATTATTTGTATTGTACCATTGCACTTTGGTTTATCGAACAAACATTAATCTGTCCTTAATTTCGTTCATGATTTAACTGTTACACAGTTGAGCCAGGATACTTCCGTTGAGCATGTAGCTCAGACGGTTACTCAGAATACTGTCGTCGATTATATTTGTATTTGTTTACTTCATCTTTATTTATTTATTTTGCATAAAGGTTACACAAGGTATATGTTTTCTGTTCAGAAATGATCCGTCAAAGCTCCAGTCATGCTAGAAAAAACCCAGTTTCCATTGCGCAGTAACAATTTTGGCAGTGGTACAAGGATCCTTAATTTTGTTTACCGTCAACATTTACTACCCAAATACGTCACAGCATAATACTTCCTCTTCATTGTGAATAGTGTTATTTCAACACGTTTTTTTTTTTTTTTATCATATATGATGTCTTATTACACCGGCATTTGAAATTGAGTTTTACCATATAACGACATGTCTCGGTGATTTATAGTTAATGTGTGACATGATGTTGATACACAGGGATGTCGATCAGCAGACTGGGTACCGGACCAGCAGTATTCTCTGCATGCCAATATATATACGGGGCAGGTAAGAAAAATTCTAACAAAATAGGCCATCAAATAGTATTCAATCGATTCACGGGGAACATACAATTTTTGCATATGAAAACTCTCGTCCACTTAACGAATAAAAACACCATAAGTTTTGTCGTAACCAGCTTTATTTGTGGTCTTAGTGCTTTGGCAGAAATTTTTATTGTCCAACCAATATAACTTTATCCCTAACGTGTTGTTTAATAGAGTATAACAGCTCCAAACTATTTCGTTCAGTTATTTCTGTAACAGTAATACTGTCTCGCTATCAGTACAGGGATTTCTAATGTGGTATAATCCGAAGAAAGATTAGGCCACATTGTAAGGGAAAGAAAACAAACTATAAACCGGATCATAGCTGACTTAATATGGAACACACATGTAATCTGATTAAAACTAAATTTACTACGTTTTCTAAGTATTAATACGTAGATCATCAATGTAAAACAACTTTTGGTTTTAATTGAATACATAGAGCATTGTAGGAACAAAATCACTAGATATAAGAAGAAATGAATCACTTGTTTGAACATTTTGAAAGCCAAAAGAAAGTAAACTTTTTAAGGCATCATATGTCCACTTAGTCCACTAAGGACTTCTCAGTGTTGCTCAGTGTCAAAAGGATTAATAATGCATCAGAAAATAATATCTGATTTAAGTAAAATACACATAGACTGGCATTTAATCGTTCGTATCTAGATTATTGTACGATTGTCTTTAATATCTGTCTTTAATGATAGACGTCGATCTCATTGTTCACCTTGAGGCCTTACTTGTAATAAAGAGAACAACTCTTTCACCATTCATTTCAAATGAAATGAAAGTGTAATGTGTTCAAATATTCAAATATAATAGAACGAACAAAAACCATATTCACTTCGAAAATAATGTGAACTACAAACACGATTTTCATGTTTTTGAACTTTGATTCACGGTTTGGTTGAATTACTCTAACTGTTTTACTGATTATGTGTAATGTTCGCAATAAATATAACACAACGCTGATTTCCTTGTTAAATTTATTTTTGTCATCAATCTCTAATATACGCCATTGTTTTATTGCGAAGTACATCAAAGTGCCCAGACTAACGAAGGTTATATGTGCTTGACTTGTTTCAGCATTATTGGTGTGGTACAGATGGTTAACAAGATAGACGGGAATTTCAACAGGGCCGACGAGGAATCGTTCGAAACTTTCGCTATCTATTGCGGGTTAGCTCTGCATCATGCCAAGGTTAATATAGAAAATTTCCATTTATTTATAAGCTTTCCACTTAAAAAACGTTCTAAACAGTTTTGGAAAATATTTTCATTAAAAATTGATGCAACAGTTCTAGCTGTTCGACTAACTGTCAGATGTTCTTTGAATTGACCGTTATTTTTATTTTAGAATACTTTACGAGAACTTTAATATGAGTGATAAAAAATATACAAGAACGTCAATTTACTTTAAGTTTTGATGGAAACGCGCAGAAAAAATAACTACACTTACATATTTTCCATCACATAAATAATGGCATTGTGACATCATTGACGTTAATCCAGATCATACAAGCGTTTTATTTGATGTTGTATCAATTCATTGCAGCTGTACGATAAGATCCGTCGATCTGAACAGAAGTTCAAGGTCGCCTTAGATGTGCTTTCATACCACAGCCAGGGAAGTGAAGATGAGTATGCAGCGGTCAAGTCCATCACCATACCAATGGAACTTCCGGAAATTATCGAGTGCGTAATAATTATTTTTAAGCACTGAAAAATAAGATAAAATAAAGTTTGGTATTATAATTTATAAATATATTTGAATAATTTTGGATTAGCGTACAACTTAGTTCACATGACGAACTGGGATATTTCGAACACTTATTAAATCCTATTGAAGTTGATTTCTGATATCTCGAATATGTAGCATGGTTCCATTGTTTAAACAAGGCGTGGATCAAATGTTCTTTCACTTTACAAGTGCGCTTAAGTAAACTTTACAATTCTACTTGAACTTTACTAGTGTACTTTCACTTTACATGTAAACATTTACTTTGCAAGTATAATTTCACACCTAAGTATGCTTTAACTTTACAAGATTATTTAAACTTTACAAGGATACTTTATTTTTACAAGTGTTCTTTCACTTTATAAGCATATTTTGACTTCACAAGTGTGCTTTCACTTCGAATGCGCTTGTAACGTCGATGGGGTTTTGATTAACGTTTTGGCACCATTCGGTAACTCCTGCCACAATGTTTAGTACCACTATTTGAACATATTATTCAGTAATTTATGTGTGCGTGCAGTTACAATGATTTTATATCTGCTATCTGCTGATGAGCCTTAAACAATTTCTTTTGTTTACAGTTTTGACTTCTCTCCATGGTCAGTCACCAATGACCACAAGCCCGTGTATGTGCTCTACATGATCAAAGATATATTCGAAGGCACGCGGTAAGCATAAAACATTTTATTATCATTCTTCAAAAAAAATGAATGTATTTAGTAAAAATATTTTTAGAGAATTTGAGGTCGACACAATTTGTTTTAAAGATGATTAAATCATAATAAATATATATATATATATCAAAAAATCTTTCATTTCTTTAACTTCACTTGATCGCACCCTACTTCTTTTAATTAATATTGTTATGCCAGATGAATTTGTGTGGTTGCTTAGTGCTATGTTTTTACATCTTTACGATGCTTTCAACTAATTATTAAGTATCATCAATTACGAAAGAACAACCTGTTGTTGTAATTATTTTTTAAACATGCATGTTTCTTGCTGTAGAAAACATGCTTTGATACCTTATGTGTGATGCATGCCACTCGTTACAATCGACAAAGCTTCGCTGATATAGTTTTTATTAGGTATTGAAAAAGGTTCTACACTTAGTAAAGATTAAATTTACTTACTATGCTAATCTACTTATGACAAATCTTTTTATGTAAGCGAATGATGTACCGTGTATTTGGTAACTAATTGCACGTGTTTATGCATTAGCTTCTAGTTCTGTAGTGTATTATTGAAGCCGGCAGTGATTATATAATGCGGAATTCATCAGACGTATTCTAATATCCTCTGACCATCCAATATCGTAAAATCTTTCACGCAATTAAATTATTGAAAATGAAAACACTAAATCTTTCTTACAAAATAAACATTTTTTCTCATCAGACACAGTCGTGATTTTACCTAATAAAATTCAAGCTAACTTTGGCTATACAATAATCTCTTAACTTTCTTTTCAGCTAACGTTTTCTCTTGCCTGCAAATTTTGACATTCAGAGACATTTGCCTTAAATATGTCAATTTGTTTGCATTTTATAGCAAAATATTCTTTAAAATACAATAAATAGTCTGCGAGAAAAATATCCAAAGAATGTCATTTTGCTTTTTGCAGTGGAGGAGAAAATGAGAAAAGGTATATAACAATATGCATACTAAATCACCCGCCGACTTGGCTTTCTATATACAGTATCATGTTCGCTATTTGTAACTGTTTATTTGGTCTTCTGATAGAGAAGAATCAATTATTTAAATTCTGATTGGTATTTTGAAATATGAAAACAAACTTCTTTTTCTCATTTTCACTTAAAGTAACTGTACTATGTTTATGGATCTTGGAATGTCTGCCTTGAATCTCTCACTGAGCGATCCTCTAACACATGGTTACCTGTGAAGATATACACAGATGTAACATATGTACTTCCAGTCAATATTTCTAACTTCCGTATATATAAATTCCTTTCACTATGGTTGTTGCATCAGTCCCTTTCGCTGTACATAGTTGTTGACCAGGGTCTTTATCGATCAAACGTGCCGGTATCATTCCAGTATTTAACTTGGAGATATTCTTCAAGTTTACATGAACAGAATAAAAAAAAATCCATTATATGATTGGTTACACAGTAGTTGATCTTGAATCCAACCAATGATTTTAGGACGTAATATAAATGGATTGAATGTTAAAGTATGTCAAACATGTTAAAAACTATAAACGACTTCTTCTGAATAACCAAAATGGCTAGGGAAAGGCTATATGGCCAGTATCATGCTAGGATGAAGGGATACCGAATTTGTGCAGATGAATGACCTTTGTCCATATTCAATGTCACATAGGTCAAATAAAAAGGAATATTTAAACAACTTCTTCAGAATAACCAAATTGGCTAGGGGGAGAGATTTGGCCGGTAACATGCTGGGAGGAAAGGCTATCAAATTTATTTTTGTGAATGTCCTTGACTCACTTTCAAGGTCTCATTTGGTCAAATGATTATAATCCTTTAAAGCATCTAATTTTAAACAAAAGGTGATGTTTGACACTTTGAATGCTTAGATGAAGGACTATAAACTTTGTTCAATTGAACGACCCTGTTAGACTTTCTAGATCACAGGAATCAAATGTGTTTAAATCAATTAACAATCTCTTTTGGATGACTTAGAGTCATACTGAAAGTTTGCCTGTATATTTATGCTAGTCCACTTCTAAGTTGAAAAATCTCAAATTAATACCAGGTGAGAGAAGCAGTCCATTTAGGCCTCATGTTTATATAAAGGGTGGGATACAGTGGGTTATTTTTTAATGATGCAAAGGTGGGAGAAACGGTGAATTTTATATCATTTAAAAAGAGGTGCAGAAGACAGGAGTTTTTATATAGAGAAGAGTTGGCAGAGAATTAGAAAGGTGATAGAAGATTAAAAGATATTCATTCTCAATTATTTAAATATTTCTTAAGACAGAATATGATGCTTCCTTCTATGTAAATCTTATAAAATCGACCATATAAAGAAACTTCAAACTGGAAAATATTTTCATGACAATACTTTTAGGTATTCAAATAAGTACTACCATTAGTTATATATTTACTGTTAAACTGGTTTGTATGGCATCTCAATTATATATTACTCAAAGCTAGTAACATTATTCATGTTAATGTTATAAAGAGGGTTTTTTTCTTTGGAAACTTCTTACGTAATCTTGACTTAAATAAGCTACCCTAGATCTATTGCTAGTCAGTGACGTATCTAAACATTCTGCACTCATTAATTCGTATTCTCTGTCGGAGTTGAAACAAGTGTATACCTTTATGTCATAACTTCTATTGTAGTGTAGAAACTATAATCTGTGTGGTGATTTAACGTATTTCGATATAGACGCGGGTTACGCTTCAGATATTCTGACTCAAAATGTAAACGGAATGTATGTTAACCTATATTTTTATTCAACTAAAAACTGAATAATACTACACGAAAAGTGGCGCTGCTCACTTATTCCTTATTTAAAAGACGTCTTCTTCAATAATATCATACTATCAAACTTGCAGAGCATTCGAACACTCAATCTATTCAGTCAGTACAATGCTTTGCTACTTTAAATTTTGTACTATTTCTAAAATTTTCATTTTATATTTTATTTAATGTTATTTTATTTAGCGCTTAAAGATATATTCTAAGTACTTGCTTTCTATCGTTATATCTCGATACAAGGTTGCTGATAAAGAAACTTTTTCAATCGGTACAGTAAATTATATAATTCATATATATATATTCATGTTACTCATTATTTCATTTTCATTACTTCCTAAAAACCCAAGTCCCATCTGGAATTGGTTACCTCCTATCACTTCACAAAGCCTGAGGGTCGTTTCAAGGATGCCTTGTCATTGCTAGGCAACCCGTGTAATGACCTTTGGCATGCGACCTTTCACCCGAAGATGTATCTTTGTGCTCCCATCATAGTCTTCCTCTACTATCAGTGTATGATATATAATATCACTGTGCATTCCACCGTTTTACTTTTAATCTTCACTCTCCCGTTTTATACATTTATTTGTTTGATTTGCTTGACAAGGGCAATTGCGAATGCGATAATGATATTTGTCATGAACATTACATTTATTCTTAAATTCTTTTGAAATGTATGTTTTCTTTGCGAAAATTTGCTATAATATCATATTGATTCTAAATGTATTCACCTTACATTCATTCATTCATCATTCTTTTTTGAATAATGCAAGTTGTCGATAAAATGTTTGACTAATGACATGTTTATTTCATATTTAAATCTCCCAACAGGATCACTGTTTAGATTTAGTTGTCTGTTCCTTTTCAATAAGCACTTTGTTTATCAACCTTCAGGTACGACATCAATGACATCGTGCGGTTTACATTGACCGTGCGTAAGAACTACCGCAATGTTCCTTACCACAACTGGGCACACGCCTTCTCTGTAGCCCATGCTATGTTCACGGTGCTCAAAACAGCCAAACATGAGTTCTCTCCCTTTGAGGTAAATCGTTCACGTTTATAGAATAGCCGAATCTACGCCTACTCACATGATTAGAATCATATAATGAACATGAATATCCAGTATGTTCTGTTTAACATTAATGTTTAGAAACATTTCTTGCGGGGATTTTTTTTCCAGAATTTGAAATAATTTTAAAAAGGGGTCAATGATATGTGTTCAAGTTTATTCAAGTATTGACTACTCATTTAAAAAAGGTAAAATGCATTTGTCCACGTGATGCATACTGGTTTTTATCCAGTGTATAAACACGTATTTAATTAAGATTGTTTAGACAATTACTATTTACTCCTTTATCTGTGTACCGAGTCCGTTTTTTCTCATTACATTAATGTTCATATATGATTGTATTCACAAACTTAAATGAATTTGTAATAGTGTTGATCTTTTCAAAACAAATTCTCTCGCAGAGTCTCGCGTTGTTTGTGGCATGTCTTTGTCATGACCTTGACCACCGAGGAAAAACGAACGCTTTTATGGTAAAGAGTGCGTCTCCATTAGCATCCATTTACTCTACCTCAACAATGGAGCACCACCACTTCAACCATACAATCACCATACTGCAGGTAATAATAAAATCAGTAAACTTTCATTGTGAGATCTTTCTCAAAACTTCAAATCATTTCTCATCTGGCCCCGTCATTTCTCATCTGGCCCCGTATTCACGAAACCGTTCCCATGCTCAAACCTAGATTCTGTGCAATTCCAATTTCTTGTGCCAATGATAAATTAATAAAATCATCATATTTTGTCAATGATATGCGAGATATTTTGAAAGCCGAATACTGTTTACAATGGACTTTTTGACCGTGTTACGCGATTTAAGCTGGTTACAAGAAAGTCGGCTTGAGCACAAAACTCATGCTTGAGCACGAGAACAGTTTCGTGAATACGGGCACCAGGATGCATCAAAATCAGAGTTATTGTCTATATATATGCACACAGCACAGCGACCTTTACACAGAAATTGCTCAAACATCGACCTTGACCTTCCCATTTCTCACACAGACACTTTTCTTCTACAAGTGCTAACACAGTGACTTTGACCTTCACATTGCTAACACAGTGGCTTTGACCTTCACATTGCTAACACAGTGACTGTGTACCTTCACATTGCTAACCCAGTGACTTTGACCGTCACATTGCTAACACAGTGACTTTGACCTTCACATTGCTAACACAGCGACTTTGACCTTCACATTGCTAAAACAGTGACTTTGACCTTCACATTGCTTACACAGTGACTTTGACCATCACATTGCTAACACAGTGATTTTGACCTAGATAATGCTAACACAGTGACTTTGAACTTCACATTGCTAACACAGTGCCTTTGACCTTCATATTGCTAACACAGTGACTTGGACCTTCACATTGCTAACACATTGATTTTGACCTACATAATGCTAACACAGTGACTTTGACCTTCCCATTGCTAACACAGTGACTTTTACCTTCATATTGCTACCACAGTGACTTTGACCTTCCCATTGCTAACCCAGTGGCTTTGACCGTCACATTGCTAACACAGTGTCTTTGACCTTCACATTGCTAACACAGCGACTTTGACCTACATATTGCTAACACAGTGACTTTGACCTTCACATTGCTAACACAGTGATTTTGACCTACATAATGCTAACACAGTGACTTTGACCTTCACATTGCTAACACAGTGACTTTGACCTTCACATTGCTTACACAGTGACTTTGACCTTCACATTGCTAACACAGTGAATTTGACCTTCACATTGCTAACACAGTGACTTTGACCTTCACATTGCTAACACAGTGACTTTTACCTTCATATTGCTAACACAGTGACTTTGACCTTCCCATTGCTAACACAGTGACTTTGACCTACATATTGCTAACACAGTGACTTTGACCTTCACATTGCTAACACAGTGACTTTGACCTGCATATTGCTAACACAGTGACTTTGATCTACATATTGCTCACGAAATGACCTACATTTACTCGCAGCTCACAAAGAGACTTTAATGTACACTCTGCTCAATCAGAGACTTTTACCTGAAATTCTGATCCTACAGTGGTCACGACCAATACATTGCTTATACAGCGACTGCCAAACACATTGAGAACGATTTTATCTACACACTGCTTACGGCATGCCCTTGCAATGAATACTGCTCAGACAGTAATATTGTCCTAAACACTACTCACATTGCGACCAACAAACCAGTGAATAATGACCTTGACCTTTATTAACCTTCAATAATATTCCGAATTTAATACATTTAAGTTTATCTTTCTGAATTATTTGACAAATTAGGCATACGCTATCTTGACAGTGTAAGTTTGATAAATTGCAACCATGAAATCCTTTTGAAGCAGTTTTGTCATTAAAGTACAATCACTTCATTTTCTGGAGATGTCGTTTAAGCGATCACATAAGCATACATCATATCAGGAAACAGCTAGACATATTTTAAATAAATTAAAAATATAAATAATCACTAGAAATACGGCGTTAGGTAGCAAAACAAATGATTGCATTATAATATTTTCATCATTGGCCTGAACGAGTTTAACACAACTACACATACTTCATGATTTTAGCTCGCCTTGCTGGTACAAAGATCCTGTAATGATATGCCGTTCTGTGTCGTTGTGCGTCTATCATTAATTTTTATTTTTACATACATTTAATCTAGAGTACATAGATGAAATGTGTTGAAAATGTCGAACGAATTGAAGTGGTTGTGAATAAACTCTATTTGGAAGTTATTTGATGTTTTGACTTTTAATGAATTTTGTCTTAAAATTCGTGTAATTGATATATTATTTCAAGCTTGACAATATTTTTCTTTTTCTTAGAATGAAGGTCACAACATTTTCAAACACTTATCTTCTGAAGAGTACAAACACGTAAGTGACTGTGTATAGTTGGTGATTGCTGATTAATAAGCGTTTACAGGACACATTAAAATATCTAAATTTTACAGATATATTTGTTATGTCATTCTCAGCGAAATCAAATTATGACATGATACATATTGTTATTGTGCCAATCAATTGTCTGAGGAACCAGTTCAAAATGGAGCAAAGCTTTGTTGGCATTTGACGTTATAATATTTTTTCCATCTTACTTTATTCTGAGCTTATACAATTACCCTTTGGTGGGCCTTGCTTGCTGTTGCTCATTTCTGATTTTGTAAAGAAACATTATAAAAAAATAAACCATGATTAAATGTCAACACACTATCCCTTTTTTTTAGATGCTTGGAGACATCCGTCATTGTATCTTAGCAACGGATCTTGCGATATTTTTTACCAACCGTGCTCGCCTTCAGGAAATAGCAGATCGGGATGAATTCGTGTGGGATAACAGGGAACACAGGTATAGACGGGTTTTAATTATACGTTTCTAGTAGAGTGACGTAGATACAGTTTTTATTTCATTTTGTGTTCCTCAGACGCGTAATGGTATATCTTGTTTCCAAATCCGGCTAATTCAATATTTTGATGATATTGTTGCAGAAAAAAGCCTAGCAAATATATCTGGTAGCTTTTCTATTCCATTATAATATCATGAACAACCAGTAATTAATCTGGTGTTATTGGCGTCACTGGGACAGACAGGATCGTTTCCTTGACTACAACGCTTGATACCCAATCAATCACTTAAAACAAGATGACAATATAATCCTAGGAACCCTGACACATAATGTAGATTCAGACTTCTTGCTCTAAGGCACTAACAGTGTAATTCGTTATAATCCTAGGAACCCTGACACATAATGTAGATGCAGACTTCTTGCTCTAAGACAATAACAGTGTAATTCGTTATAATCCTAGGAACCCTGACACATAATGTAGATTCAGATTTCTTGCTCTAAGACAATAACAGTGTAATTCGTTATAATCCTAGGAACCCTGACACATAATGTAGATGCAGACTTCTTGCTCTAAGACAATAACAGTGTAATTCGTTATAATCCTAGGAACCCTGACACATAATGTAGATTCAGACTTCTTGCTCTAAGACACTAACAGTGTAATTCGTTATAATCCTTGGAACCCTGACACATAATGTAGATTCAGACTTCTTGCTCTCAGACAATAACAGTGTAATTCGTTATAATCATAGGAACCCTGACACATAATGTAGATTCAGACTTCTTGCTCTAAGACACTAACAGTGTAATTCGTTATAATTATCATACATCTGTGTCCGTGTAAAACAAAATTACACTTTCATATTGATAAATAAATCTAAGTGAAGGTTTTAAAGGTTACAAATTGAAGACTTCGTTATTTTCAAATTATTTCCAAGTTAAAATTCAGCTATTTTAACTTCGGCTGCCATAGCAACCGTTCGAACTATTTTATTAGGGATAGCCGTTTCCTTCGTTATTTACATTTTTTGACTGTCGGAAGACAGTTTTTGCATACCTTGGATGTTATCGGATTACCATGCAATAGAGGCAAAACAGAATGGTGTTGGTCACACTCCCTAGTCTCAGTATTGACGCTACTTTCAATATTTTGAATACATCCTAGTTGGGATATAGAACCAGGCTAATCCAAATTTAGACCATGAAACAAATTCGTTAAATTCCAATATCAACAATGAATTGATTATTCACAAACAAGAAACAAAACAAACTTAAATAACATGTATTTTAGCAATTTTAATGAAGTTTAAAACTTGAATGTTCCTATTTGATATCGCTTCACGCTAACAGGAAGAATAGGTAGAAAACGATATCCTATTGGCACTATGTATGCAAAAGGTGTAATATTTTTGTAAACCTGCGTGATACGTGTCGGGTTTTATGTTGTTCGTGTCAGAATTTACGCGATACGTATTAAACTTACCTCATACGCGTCTGATGTGTGTGTGTTGTCACAGGCTTCTTCTACAGGCTATCATCATCACCGGATGTGACTTGTGCGCAAGTGCGAAACCCTGGGATGTCCAACTTCAAACGGTCAATTCTATTATTGACGAGTTTTATAAGCAGGTACCCTGGTCTATCTGTACTATGTACCAGCATGAAGTTATCAAATGTTCGTGTTTGTACAATATTGGGAATATTATGTATGAACTTCAATGTTTATTGTGTTCGTTGTAATTTTTTTGTACTGAATTCTTTGTTCCATGTATATACCTTTGACTTTAAATATGTTTCAAATGCTTAAAACAGCAGATCTGCTGTTCTTTAACATTTGATAACACTTCAAGGGACATAATTACAAGGAAGAGCATATAAATTTTAACGTTTTTAATACATCATCTGCTTTTTTCAGAAACCTTATTTCGAAAAAAAGGAAAGAAAAATATATTTACTAAAAAAAAGCTATTCTTTCACGCATGTTTTTTGTCATATAAATTCATTGTGTACACACATGTCGGTTACCTATACATTTTTATTAAAACAGAACCAATCAAAATCGATCACGAGTTTTAGAATCAGTAAAGGTAGATCTGCAGGCAGTTTTCCCCCAGAAATATATTATATATATAATATATCAAATTATTCTATTTTTTGGGATCACAATAACAAATGTTATAGAAATCACTGATCGGGCGTATTGTTAGTGTAAGAGAAAATGGTTGGTCTGTTGATGTTGTGGTCCCATCCTGGTTGTTGTGTTTTCAGACGACTCCTCATGGCCAACTGCATGACCGCCTGTGATCTGTGTTCTATGTACAAACCATGGGGCGTCCAGCTTGACCTCGTCTACGTCATCATGGAGGAATTCTGGCAGCAGGTGCCTGTTCTTTTGTTTCTTATTGTCATTCTTCTAAGCCTCTTCAGCATGATTGGTGTAATAATGTTTTGTATCAGGCCAGAGAACTGCCTTCCATTTTTATTATATATATATATGGGGCAAAGAAGTAATTCCAACAGTGTATATATATATAAGTTTTTGTATTATATATATATGTATATAAGTTTTTGTATTATATATATATATGTATATAAGTTAAAAACTCACATGTCCTAACAGTTAAACTCAGTCCAACAATGTTCCTACGTATCCACCAATAGTATGAATACTATGAAGATAAATATATGTAGATAATGTGTAAAATAAGAAATAAATATGATATAATAAAATACAGTATACATTTTCATCGGTACCAACACAATCAAATCGGCCTTGACCTATGTGTCAAACGTAGCAATATGGCGTTACAAATACATAGCATTCTGGATGAAATATTGATGTTTGATATGACCAGGGTGATGAGGAGAGGTCACAGGGAATGACCCCTATGCCGATGATGGACAGACAGAAGCAGGACGAGCTCCCTCACTTAGAGGTAGGTAACTGGAATCCTAGTGGTTTCACTCTTCATAAGCTTAATTCTTAGGTAGCTTCGAATTATCGTAATTGACAAAAAACACAAACAAACAACAGACAGACAGACAGACAGATATGTATAGATCCTATACCTACAGCAACACATCTGTGTATTTACATAATTCCTAATGGTATTTAGATAACGATAACAAAATATAACTTATTTGTGATTTTTTCATTGATTCACACTTTTTACCACGTTAATACAGTTTTTTCACTTCACAGTAATATTGAATTACATTAATTATATATGTGTTACATACCCCTCTGCAATTTATTTTATGTAAAAAATGTATGTACTTCTAAAAAAGTGTTTTTGTTTTTTATGTTTACATGCTTAACATGTTTCAAGATTACGCTTCTACATATTTTGTGTAACATTTGAATATGTCTAATACATTATTTGATTTTATTATTTGATCTTATTTCTTTCTCTCCGAGTGATCCGTTTTGCCGTGAAAAGTATTTAGTTTAAACAATATTTTATTTCATCACTTGCACACTACATTACAATACAGTACAGATACAACGAGGATCGGAAAACAAGCTATAAGCTTATATTGATTCCTCTCCTAAGTATTTAGTTTTATATTGGTACAACTTTAGTTAGTTTAACCGATTGTAAACCGAGTCTGTATATATACATATATTTATCCTATACATTGTATGCAACCTTATCCTGACATGCCATCCTATCATACAGGTTCCGAATCAGTTGATTATGTAAACGTCCTGTTTTATCAATAACTTGGCCTTCTAAATACACTTCAAGAATTGCTTAAAACATACATCCGTATGTGCAACTAATGAAAATCATTATAATATAACGAGCTAATTTGAGTAATTCACATTCATTAAAGAATATCACGGAAATACCTATTGTTTTAGATGAAGAGCAATAGGGATTATAGGGGGGGGGGGGGGGGGGGGGAANTATTAGAAGAACTTTACAATTAATAGTATTTCATTTCGAATATAAATGTAACAAATTAAAAAAAAAACATAATAAATTATATAAAAAAAGGAAGCATGTTTTTTTTTCATATTTTTTTAGTCTGCCCACAAAAGAAGTATCAAATTTAATGTTTGAAAATAGCATTAACTGATAAATACTAACCGCTCAAATGAATCCCATAAACATTAGGCATAAAACTTTCATGTGAAATCTTAACAAAAATGATTTTCTATGATTAGGTCGGATTTCTAGTTGGGATTTGTCTCCCCTGCTACGAATTAATGGGCAAGATCCTTCCGGAAACTATGCCAATGGCAAATGGTGCAAAGTGAGTAATGTCGTTGTGTTGATATTGATGTAGAGGTACTGTAACTCTAAATACATGTTCTATGGATATTTATTGTGGTTATACTTTTTATTAAAATTAGTTCTCTGCTGAGAGTATTATTTTGCTACCTTAATCTTAATAAGTGTGTTCTTGGTTTGACTGAGTTTAAGATTATTCAAAGATTCAGCTAGACTTTATCCTCGTTTATTCGATCCCAAATTATTTTTTATTGTGTCAACAGAGACAATCTTAGAAGATGGAAGGAACTGGCAGAGCAACAGAAACCAGAAAATCAACCGACAGGAGAAAATACTTCGAAATCTCAAGACAAAGATGAAAAAGTGTCAGACTCTTCAGAAAAAGAAAACAATGAGAAAGACAAAGAGGAGACGACTTGTGTAACTGATTCTAAGGATAGTGAAATGGGATCGACGACAGAGAACGAATCTGAAACTGACTCGAAAACAAACTTAGATAAAACATTGGTTGGTAATAAGGACTACAGCGAAACGGAAAAAGATTTAGAAACAGAAAAAACATCAAGCATTAGTTAACATAACGATGAGAAGTTGAAGGAAATAGTGCTATATGTTGTGTTTTATAATCTCAGCAAGCCGAACGAAAGGGACAGCTTTAGTGTGAGAACGATGAACACTAGCGATTAGATACACAGTACCTCTTGTGGCAAATCATAATATATTTAGTTGATGATGACGTAAGCATTTCGTTATCATTGCATTCTTTTTTTTTATATTTTTGAATCTACGTATGACATTATAAAAGGGGTTGGAGAGGGAGAGAGAAAGGGGGAGGGGGGGGGGTTATAAGGTTGTAAATTTCTTAAATAGTGATTGAACGGTAGCTTATACTACAATTTTAAATGTATATCATTCGATTTGCATACGAACTGATACCGATATATATTTGCTTGTCGTTTTCGCCAAAAATCTGTCTGCATCAAACTTCATGATCATTAGCATTTTCATATGCAATTGTAAAAATAACTTAATTAAAACAATTGAATTATCATTGAGGTAAACTATAGAATGTTTCTTTTTTCTATTTTCTATTTGTCAGTAAGTAAAAACGTAGAAGGCTTATGCATTGAAATATATATATATAACATCATTGCGACAATGCTAACCATTCTAGTATAGCACTTCAATAACAGCTGTTGTCATAGCATTATAACACGTGAACAGCCCTACTGTTGTGAATTATCATTATAACACTTGAACAGCCCTACTGGTGTGATTTATCATTATAACTCGTGAACAGCCCTACAGTTGTGATTTATCATTAAAACACGTGAACAGCCCTCCTGTTGTGATTTATCAATATAACACGTGAACAGCAGTACTGTGGTAATTTATCATTAGAACACGTGAACAGCCCACTGGTGTAATTTATCATTATAACCCGTGAACAGCCCTACTGTTTTGATTTATCATTATAACTCGTGAACAGCCCTACAGTTGTGATTTATCATCATAACACGTGAACAGCTCTTCTGTTGTCATAGCATTCTAACACGTGAACAGCACTACTGTTGTGATTTAGCATTATAACACGTGCACAGACCTACTGTTGTAATTTCTCATTATAACACGTGCACAGACCTACTGTTGTGATTTAGCATTATAACACGTGAAAAGCCCTACTGTTGTGATTGATCATTATTACACGTGAACAGCCCAACTGTTGTTATTTATCATTATAACTCGTGAACAGCCCTACTGTTGGGATTTATCATTATTACACGTGAACAGCCCTACGGTTGTGATTTATCATCATAACACGTGAACAGCCCACTGGTGTAATTTATCATTATAACAGGTGCACAGCCCTACTGTTGTGACTTATCATTATAACACGTGAACAGCCCTACTGTTGTGATTTATCATTATTACACGTGAACAGCCCTACTGTTGTGATTTATCATTAGAGGAACTTCGATCTACTTCTATATTTGAGGAACTTCAGGCTGAATGATAATATGCTGTTCCAATTCATGCCTGTCAAATTAAAGATACATGTTGTTACTTTGTTACTTATACGCAATTACCGTGTATACATACATCCATGATACTCAAATAATGCTCCTTTTATAAAATTATCATTTCTCTCAGAAATCACATTTCCGAAGAAAATTTGGTAATTTAAGTTCTGTTTTTAAAACAGATCACTTGATAAAAGTATATGATGATTTTATCACTTTTAACATATTTATGTTGTACAAAATTACATATCACGTCATAAATAATGTGCTTTGAGGTAGAATACCATCAGAGCCAGAAGTTGTAAAATGTAATATGCCGGAGCTGGCATGTTGTGTTTAATGAAATAGTACGTTGTCTCTTGTTGATTTTCTTTGTTATTTCGTGAAAAAAAGAGCTGAAAGTTAATACAATAAAACCCCGTTTACTCGAACTCTTAGGGTCCAGATCAATAGTTCGAGGGATACATGGTATTCGACGATTACGAGGTTCGACCGACATCGTCATTTTTGTATCAGGTGGGACAACAGACAGTACGAGCACTGCAGCTATCGCGGATAGTAGATGATAGAAGAAAAAAGAAGTTTAATCAAGATGACAGCATTTAATAAGATTTAAAACAGCTAAACAATATAAACATATAGCCACCGGTATTAAGAGAGTAAATACAATTTAAACACTTAATGTGCAGCGTACTTGTTGTTTTGACATAGTCCCCCATACTGTAATCGGCTACGTTAATTTTACGAAATATGAAAACGAGAGGAACTCTTCGATCATTTTAAAATGAAGAAAATCTCGAATCTTTGTAATCATAATGTTGATTGAAATTAAGGTTGAAATTAAGAATCACGACGGATTCCGCTACGTGAATTCCGCTTAATATTGCTATGCCGAAATATTGTTTTACACACCAGGTGAGTTTGTCAAAACATCGTATAGAAAAAATAAATATGCACACAAAATGACATAGCTACAACAGGGTAACGGTACAGTGACTTAATGATACTGCCGTTAATACTTTAATTAACTGACGGCCAGCCGACACCTGTAGAAGCACAATGAGCGTGGACCGCAGCCCGTGCCTCGGGACGTGTTGACGGATTTTCTTTGCTCGAGGAATAACGGTTCGACTAATCCGGGCTTACTTTACAAAGAATGTGTATGAACTCGGTCGGGACCAATCGAACTGTTCGACGAATGAGGGGTGTTCGAGTAAACCGAGTTCGAAGAAGTGGGGTTTTACTGTAGTTTGCTGTTATGTGGATCGATACCTGTAATTCTGTACATGATTCAATCATTTACCTTTTTGTTTCGACCTCGTATAATGACAGCGATGGGTTGAAAAGTCAGAAAATTAACAATTTAATGTCACGATTTACAATATGTAGTGAAAAACAAACTGAAATTTCGAACTTCAGAAATATTTAACTTTGAGGAGGTTCTTGTGATAAAAGTGATCCAAGAAAAGTATCCATTTGAAGTGAAATCCATAAAGGAAGATATTTTTTGTAGCTCGCTTAATCTGACTATACAATTAAAATAATATTGAAATAGTTTCATCTATATCACATAAAATGGAAAACGAATTAGTGATCGTAGAAAATGGGTTTGTCGCTAAGCCTTTCATTCTTCCTTTTGAGTAGCAGGTGAATGTTTGTTGGAATGGGAGGCTATCTATAAATCTTTATAATACATATTTAACTTGTCATGTTTCGCTATTCAGTATTGCGTCGTTATCTAGCAAGCATTAACAGTAGACCAGTTGGTTTAAAGTTTTAACAACTTAAAACGTAATTATATCATCGTCAATGATGATTGGTTTTGATGTAAGCGTCTTATATGCACAGATATGTCGCTGTATGTTATGAAAAAGATATTTCAGAAAGAGGCATTTTAATTGTGATTTTTAATAACACAGTTTAAAAATCATTGGATGCAAGTTTCTCCTTGAACGATTTAGTAAGTATGAATGGGTTATGTTCTTAAAATAGTATCTGGTATCATGTAGGCGTATACTGTTTATAAGTATGATATCCGTCCATACAGCTAAGAATTACAAGAAGTGATTATCTTAGAAAAATAGAAATAGTGCTTTTATATTTCTTATAGTGCAATGGAAACAGTATACGTTGTGTATATACATATGCTCAAAACAAACCGGGAAATATGGAGTATTCGCCATGACGAATATATCTAATCTCTTGTGTTGTAAATCAGACAACATTTCATTAACTTGAGATTAGATTAAATTACACAACCTTCGTATCAGTCAGCATGACATGTTTGATATGTAATGTTAGAATTATTTTCAATTGAACGACATTACGTGTATAACATAAAATCTAATAATTTAAGGTGACTATTTGTAACAATGAATTTTCACATACAGTATCATATTAGTAATAACTGTTCAGGTTCATAGTCTCGAGTCGAATAGAAACTAGTATTATATATCGAATTGACTGAGACTGGAATATCGTAGGTTTTGATACTAAATATTTTGTTACATTGTATAAAATGTCAAGGTCATGTTTGTCCGATTCATCTTATGTTATCATGAAATCGTTACGAATAAATTATTTTGATATGAATCATTTGCAGTGTTTTTTTATTATATCGGTTTTTTTCATTTGGTTATATATTTTACCAGTTTGGTTACAAAAAATTGAAAACCACACCCTATCCCCGATCAGTACGTCAGTCATTGAATTTTTGAAGCCGAGGTATTGATGTGATGAAGAATGTAATACTCTATTTATAGTAACACTGACATTAACCTTTGGCCTTCGAACATGAAATAAGGAAGCAATGTAAAAAACTTTACTGCTATCGGTCCACTTGAGATTATTTAGAAATACTTTCTTCATTTACAGTTACAGTGACTTTGACACTGACCTTAAGACCAGAAAAGCGATCCCAAGAAAACACTTTTGGTAAAGGTGGGGAACTTTGGCATTCCCTAACAAATCATAGATGTATACCTCACAGAAATAACTGAAGAAAAAATCATATATAAACTATGCTGGGAATAGAATATTAGCAACTTGAAAAACAAACACAAAATAAATAAATAAATAAGTAAACACAAAAACAAAACAAAATTAAAAAATATAAAGCAATAAACCAAAGGCAGAAAAACAAAACAAAATAAAGCGAAACAAACAAACAAAAAAGGAAACAAACGAAAATGGCAAAAAAGCGTGTGTATGAAGCTTGTATTCTATGGCTCAATAGTAGATTGAGTTGCTTGCATTGGATCTATCCTCAAGACAATGAAATTAAAGATTGAAATAAAAAGAGGATATTTAATTGTTTGTTCAGTAAAAAAAAACAAATATATTTACGAGTGTGGCTAATATTTTGACATTTTTCACGAGTGCGCAGCATTGCTTCCTTATTTCATGTTCGCAGGACAGAGGTTAGTGTCAGTGTTACTATAACTGGCAGGACAGTAATACTCAGTTATTACTGAAGACATCATTATTATTTTTCTATTTTTTTTTTTTACATTTTTAAAGCATAAAACATGAAAAATGTAATGCATTAAAAAAGGGCGGGAATCAGAAGCGTATTAATTAGGCCATACAATTGGATACTATACGCTATTCTGATGTTTTCTGCCATTTTCTAGTATGATTGCCTTTGAATGCAGCGAATAGAAGATACCATTATGATTGGTCAATACCATGATCGTTAACTTTCCTTTCCTTGGTAGCAACATTCCAATCACTCGACTTATGAATTTACATGTCACAAATGATCCGCTGTTTCAGAATCGGCTTGAGTATTAGGATTGTTCATACATAAGATAAATAATAGTTTATTTAACTGTCACGCATTGATCGACAGTAAAATTCAAATCACAATCATAAAATGTATACAATGTAAAAGCGATCAATACAAAGCCATAATTAGTTGACTTATGAGACACTAAAATCGTCATTAAAATAATCATAATCGATACATCTGAAAATTAATCAATTCATATACAGAAGTTAAAAAGATAAAACATCATATTGGTACATGTACGTACATACTGCTTTACAGAACCCCGCACCGATATCTGTTCAATGCGGAGTCCGCCGAGCGTGCCATTCAGATATACAAATAACGCGTCAAATAACGCAAACGCTCTCAAACAAGGTACCCACCCAGCTCGACAGACCACGCCCCCAGACTTGCACGAGTGAAGGTTCTATTTATCACATAACAGCAATGTGTTACATCGTAGTTAAATAGGAGAGAGAACACATGACCTCAGACCAAAATTAGATTTGCGCGTTTTGACTAGTGATCGGGAAGTGGGAGGATGTGCAAGAGCCGGCCGATTGGAGGGGCGGGGGGGG